ACATACATAATCACAAAATGCCAGTGGAGAACAAAAATCTACACGTAAGTACATATAAGGATTGAGGTCCATCTGCAAAAGAAATCCGTCTCCACCGACTTATTGCATTCCAGCCGATGTAAATAAATGTTTACACATTCAGGTATAAAATATTTTCCTCATCTTGGAGAAAATCTAATACGGCACTTAAATATGCACCAAACAATTTGAAACAAAAATTAAGTTTAACCTCCCTCTTATAAAAAATAATTTCTTATGACCCGTCCATGAATTCGTGGTCTTAAGTTGTAAGGAGGCTGAGGAAAAGGTATGAAACGACCTGTCTCATAATGTAGATTTTTTGGAGCAGACGTCTCTACTTTGGCATTATCGATACTGTCACTGATTGAGTTATCTGTCTCACTATTATTAGTTTGCAAAATTTCAAATCTCTGCTCAGCTTTAGTTACATTCTCTATATGAACTGTTCTCGCATAGCCAACCATTTTGATATGTTGAATTTTCAAAGTGACAGGGGATATGACCTCAATTACTCTGAAGGGACTGTCATTAAACTTAGCAAATTTCTTACACTTGTTCTTCTTCAAAACTGGATTATACCAATACACTATATCATTGACATTAAAATTATAGCCCTTCGCTTGTTTTTCCCTCCTACTTTCTCTAGCTGCCTGCAGATTTTTCCAAGTTATCCCGTGCTGTACACAAGTATTATCCAATTTGTCAAGGAAATCTTTAGCATAATCTTCCTGGTCAGCCTATGAAAATGGTCTCGGTTGTTTAAAGAATTCTAAGGGTAACAAAAAGTCTCTCCCATAGGTGAGAAAGGCTCGAGTAATTGGATTAGATTGGTTGACTCATGTATAGAAAGAAGTACGATACGCGAGCAAGGCAAATGGAAGTTGGAGATCCCAATCATCATGGGTAGAATTCACTGTATGACATAAAAAAAATAGCTATCGTCTTATGAGTTATTTCAATAGCACCATTACTCTGTGGTCGATAAGGAATTATGTTAATTTTTTCAATATAGCGAATTATAAACCTGAGTCATTCCTTCGCTCATTAAATTTGAGCCTCTGTCATTAGTTAAAGTTTTAGGGGAGCTAAGGCGACAAATAAAATTTAAAAGCACCTTTTCTATATCCCCACTGTTAATTGGTACCACAAGAATAGCCTCCAACCATTTAGTAAAACGATCTACCATTGTCACTAGATATCTTTTGCCACTCAGTGTCGATGGAAGGGGTCCAACAATATCACAAGCTATCCTTTGAAAAGGGCCGTTAGGCAAGGGCATCCTTTGTAACGGGGCTAGGCGTTTTGGTTGATGTGCTTTTCTTTCTAGGAAACTATTACATGACTTAACAAAATTTATTAAGAAGACATTTCAGGCCAAAAATGTTCTTTCTTAATCTTTTTCAAAGTTTTGCTTAGGGTGGCAGACCTAAGGTGATTCATGGTAGAAACTTAAAACATCCATAACTACATTTTGAGGTATGACAATTTTTTCTAATTCAGAAATTGGGCTTTTTGTACACATTAATATGTGGTTTCTAATGAAAAAATGAAATTTGGAATAAACGGTTTTCTTTACCTTTAAAGCTTCTACAACCTCCTTACAAAATGCATCTTTTCTTTGTTCCTCAATTAATTGCTCTAAAGAGTATGTAATATATATAATGACCCACCCTGTTAATTCAGGGTATGCGTTAAAAATCTGTACCGTCGCCGCGGCAGGCCCACCCAGAAGAGGGGGTGCAGGCTCAATCAGTGCCGGTCGGGGAACCCGGCGAAGCCCCACCGTGGCATTTGTTAAAATTCAGATCAGTTTATTATAAGTTACACGGCAACAGCCCGATAATTTGATTTCAGCAAGGGATACACTACAAGTTGTTCAAAATATGCCACAAAGGATAATGATAATTAAACATTTAAAACACAAAAAAGGGGAACCACCGAATTGTAATAAGGTCAAAGGATCCTAATAAATTAAGAAAATATTAAGTCTAGAGGTCAACGGACCCTTATATTATTATACAAACCCTTACGTATTTCAGCAATTAGTTGGCTGCACAAAGCAGCACATAGGCCAGGACTGTTTGAACTCAGGTCCAAGAGTGGACAACAACAACTCAAAACATAAACAATACAGGCAGTTAAAAGTAAAAGCATCAGATAAAAGGTCAAAGGCAATGACAAGTATAAAAGTAAAAGTTGACAGTGTCAAAACATAGAATGTATACCCAAAAGGGGAAAAAGCAATACAATTTAAAAGATTCAAATGAGTTAAAAAGAGATGTGATAAAAGGTACAGGATAAAACATTAAGAATACAAAGGCTAAAAATACATCAGGATTGCAACAAAAGGCTAAAATACAACAGTAACAATCCTCCAATAAATAAAAAGTAGATAGTAAAATACAGTAAAAATGTTAATATAAAATACGATAGTAAACATTAAAATAGTAGCAGATAAAAACAGCTAGGTAAGAGCAAAAAATACATGAGAATAAAAATTTTTAGAAATGAGACACCCAGGGTGGAGTGTGCAGGTTCCGGGATCTTATGGGTTATCCCCAAGAACATCCTCTAGTGTTTGTTTAATAATGATCTTAATGATTTTTCTGCAGGTCAAGTTAGCGAAGCACTGATGTTGGTTAAAATTATTAAAATGATTGTCACGAAGTGTCCGGAAATGAATACAATTTAGAATTAAGTGATCTATAGTTTGATGATCACCACAGTAGTTACATTGGATGTTTTTGTTAAAAGATCTATTTTGGTGTTCTCCGAACACTCCATGACCCGTTAAAAATTGGTTAAAATAAAAACTTGCCTGCAGTCTATTTAGTTTCGGATCTTTAAAAAATTTGTGTGTCTGCCTTCCTTTCCCAGAACTCTGCCACTTTTGCTTCCAGCGTATCATGTTATGTGACTTGACCAGAGTTTTAATTTGAGCGGCGGAACTAGGGACCTCTATTGAGATTTTGCAGAGGCTAGTGGCATCTTTTGCTGCTCGATCCGCCTCCTCGTTGCCTTGAATGCCAATATGGGCTTTTACCCAGTTACACTTAATGTTATTCTTCCAGAGTAGTTACGTGTCCTTCACCAGTTTTAAAATCAGTTTCGGATTATATAATGCTTGCAACGAGGAAAGCGAATCGGAGTAAATTATTGCATCTGGATAACCAACACTAGAAAGCCATGAAAATGCCTTATTGATTGCCACAAGCTCTGCAACATATACAATGGAATTGTTTGTGAGTCTGATGGAGGCCGCCTCGACAAGTTTGCCATCTATCCTAACTATCACTCCAGAACCTGTCCTATGATCTATCTTATTGGATGTGGGGTCGGCAACCTCCATCCTCGACCCATCAGTAAAACTTTCGAGGCCTTTATTAGATGGGAGTGATCTACCATAGGGTACAGAAAGAAAGGCTGATGGATGAAGCCTGGTTGGGGGACTCTCAAGGTGTGCAGTTTGGAGCATTGTCTGAATATCAGAATCAAAATCATCAAGTCTCCACTGCCACTTTAATCTTTTGACGCAAATATCGTCCAAAATTTTGAGATGGATCGGTTTCACCCCCGCCAGTATCTGGAGGGCTTCAGAACTAGTAGTAGCATAAGCTTTAGTAATTACAATAAGTGAGGATCTCTGAATAGAATTTAGTTTATCATTAATTTTAACAGTATTGCGATACCAGACACTGGCGGCGTATAAAATAATGCGTTCTGTAGCCCGCAGGTAGATCGTTTTGAGTATGTTTGGTTTGAGGCCCCAAGTTGCCCTGGCCACCCTTTTAATCATGTTGTTAAAGTTGGCCACCCTCTCTCTGACCTGGTTAAGATGGGGAATCCAGGTCAAGCCCGGGTCGAGTAATATACCTAGGTATTTGAGGAGTTGTACTTGTTTGACAGATTTTGTGTGATTAGGACTCATCTTAATATTAGGTAATCTACCAATTTTCTTTTTATTCTTAGAAAAAGTAATGTAGTTAGTTTTATTGTTGCTAAATTTGAGTCTATTGTTCTCTGCCCAGGCTGAAAGTTCAGCAAGACAGTGGGTGGCCAGTTGGTCAAACCGATAAAGAATTGGGTGTCTCAATAAAAGTAAAAGATCGTCAGCAAAAGCAATAATGCAACAATCATTCAAATTTACATCATGAAAGTCATTGAAATTAATGCGGTTAAAATAGTCAAAAACAGAGTTGATGTAAATAAGCCACAGCACCGGTCCAAGGGATGAGCCCTGCGGAACTCCTGTAAAAATGTTTCGTCTAAAAATACAATTACCCTCTTCATCATTAAAAATGACTTCTCTCGTGCCAAGAAAGCTAAAGATCATTTTAACAAGATTATCTGGGAGATCTAGTTTATTAATTTCGGTTTTTAAAGTGAACCAGTTAGCATTATTAAATGCATTGTCTATGTCCAGAGCCACCCCGACACTATGTTTACCATCCTGCCTTGCTTCCTCAACAAATTTAACAACCTCAAGGAGAGCATCCTCTGTCCCTCTCCCGGTCCGGAATCCAAATTGATTGGTACTCAGTAAATAATTATTTTCAAGAATGAATGAAAGTCTCTTAGTTAGTAATTTGTCAAGAATTTTACCCCAGACCGAGAGCAGGGAAATCGGTCTATATGAAGCAGGCAGCTTCCTGTCTCTGTCAGTTTTAGGAATCAGGGTGACTCTGGCACATTTCCAAGGCACTGGGAAATGGTTAAGAGCAAAGCAAATATTAAAAATGGCTAACAGCCAGACACTATTAAAGTTAAAAATATCTCTAAAAATCTAATTTGGGAGTCCATCAGGGCCCGGTGCTGTATTACATTTCAAATCCCCAATAACTGCCTCCAGTTCGGGCTTTGTAAAAGGTGGCTCGTTGTGACTCCTAATCAGTGGTTCACATTGTGTATCAGTATTATCCGGGAAGTGGTGCGGCATGATGACAGAGACAGTCTCCTCGAAGTTGGAGGTGAGATCGCCGCTATCTTGGACAGTGGCTGGTAGGTCTCAAGTTATCGCCCTTAGCGATTTTGTATGGGGCTGAAAACGCCCCATCCTCATTGACCCTGTCTAGGAATTTTCTCAAGTCCAGCGCTTTGGCCTTCCTAATTTCCTTTTTATAGACCGCAAGTTGTTGTTTGAACCTGATCTTAAAAGACGCACGTTCCTGTTCATCAGTGGTCTTTTGATACCGCCTCCTAAGGGCCCTAACTTCTCTGAGCTTTTGACTAAGTCCAGGATGCCACCAAGAACAGTGCTGTCCCCTCTTGATATTCTGTCTCAGCACGCTAGCCCTACAAGCCGCTACAATATCCTTAGTAATGTCAATAATACTGGTGTCTAATTGTTCGACCGCGTTGACAGGTTCAAGATTGTAGGTACTTATAATATCCCTCAACCTAACCCTCAGGGCAATCCAGTCCAATCGTTCATATCTGATATTGGTGTTACCAGCCCTGAGCCTGTAGTCACTCTCAATAATATCGACGGTGATCAACTCGTGGTCCGAGCATGATATTTTGTCGTGGACCCTATAGTGTTTAAGCTCTTCGATATTGCTGACAAATAGGTCTATCCAACTCTGTCCGAGGACAGAGTTGTAGGTAGGCGGTCCATCAGGATCATTCAGTACGTCTAAATTATGTTGGTCAAAAAAATTCAATAATGCCTCGCCCCTTGGATCCGACCTAGGTCCCCAGGCCGTGGATTTTGCGTTCAAATCAGCCCAGCTCAGCTCTAAAGAGTATTTGAGTTTTCCACACTCTATTTCATTAAGCAAAATTTTTGCCTCCAAGTTCTCTGTGCATTTAACATTTCTACTCATAAAGTCTGCAATACATTTAATTTTCCCAGATATATATTTCACCTCAAATTGAAATTGGGACAAAGAAATGGACCACTGTGCTATTCTGCTAAAAGAATCCTTCCTCTTCAAGGTATTCGCAATAGGAGAATGATCAGTGTAAATATAAAATTTCTTCCCCAGTAAATAGTGCCTAAGGAAATTAGTGAAATAAAACTATTGCGTACTGTTGCAGAGTTTAGTTATGAGACTAAAGACGTTTGAGTGTCATCTCTACGTCTAACAGAATACGAGTTTTAAGATTTATAAAAACATTCATTTTGTTCATTAAATTATAAATATTTACAGTTTATGCAATTTATCTTTTTATTTAAAGCACTAACACCATAACTTTTCATGACATAAGATTATCTGTAACAATAAATTTATGGCAATAACTATTTACGTTGCAGCAACATTTTGTGAAAATATTATAAAAATACTTTAAAATATTTGAAAAATGATTTTAAAGATAGAGATAGATAATGATTTTAAGGAATATATATTTAATCAGTTTTCTGTTGAAATATCAGCTCCACTACGATTGTTGCAATTGAACAAGCATCAATTCTGATTACGTAAGAACACTTTCATGACTCGCTTTTCCCCAAGAGATTATAAAAGATTAAAAAAGTCGTAATCCAAACACATTTATAAGGAGTAAGGCAATTCCATCTCCACCTAGACTGGCAAAAATGAAATAAACAAAAAATGAGGGGGAAAAGTGTTCTACTGATATTGTTAAAAGATTCGAAATAAATACTATGGAGTTTTATAAAAGGAAAAAGCTTTAGTTACGATATTTAAAAAAACTTTGGAAGCCTAATGAAAATTCGAATTACAACATATCTAATCAAAATATACAACTATTGTAGAGTTGAGTTGTAAGCTGCTGATACTTCAACAACTTCCCACCTTGCAATTCAGGTGATGGCAACATTTTATAAGTTTAGTCTATTGGAAATTTTAACACGTCGACCAATTCTAGCGACGAAATCTGTTACTAATTTGGTGAGAAATTCATCATCTTCACTAGAATCGGGGTTATTAACAGCTTCAGGTTGCAGAGGTCTAAATATGTCTTCTCTTTCCTGAACAACGAATGGTAGCCTTTCAGAACTACTAATTTCCAAGGAATATAATTTCTGAAATGGTCTCAATTTCTCTCCTTCAGCTGTTCTTACTTTGGCAACCCTTGAATGTCCATCTGCACCAGAGAGAACTTAAACTATGATTCCTAAAGGCCAGTTTATGCTTTTCGAATTTATATTAAGAACCACATCTTCAATATTCAAAACTTCTTCGCGACTGTGACCTTTTTGTACCAACATGGCTATATATTCATTGCGACATCTCATTCTTAGACCCTGCCGTAGTTTTTGTACAAAACGTAATCTTTTGTTTATGCTTTTACTATCAATTTCGTCTAAACCAGTTGTTTCACTGCTAGGAATACTTTGCAAAAAACACGCTGGCGTTAAAGGTCAAAGCTAGGCTTAGCCCTGACCCGCCCCATTTTGGGACATCCAGGTAAAACTGTGGACTCATCAATTACGGCAACCCTCAATTCAGACGGCGGAACCGGCGGTGCATGGACACCGAGGGTCCATGGCCCCGAGTCACGCACGACTAAGAGCAACACAAATCCTCGATGGTCAGAGGAGGCCGAATGGGACGAACCCGAGTCGGTGCGGCGGTGCCATACTCAGCTGCAGACGACTCACTAGAAGCGTGGCACCGAGAGACAGCAGCCACGTCACGACCCCTCGAGGCATCCTCTGACTGGAAAGAACCAAAGTGATGCTTTACTTTATTAAAAACCAGAACAGACAAAGGACCTACACTTAGAGGCAAAAATAATAACAAACAACGGTTGAAAAGTGTTACAAAAATTCTCAATTTGAGTTCACATTGGGACGCCATAATCGGCTTACAAAGCTAGTGGGGTAGCAAAATGTAAAATTTGGTTAGAGTTTAGTGCAGATCCTAGTAGTGGATCCTCTTCCTTAGCCTGTCCAGCTCTCTTTGGTTAGCCGGACAACTCGTTCTATTAGCTGAATGGTTCGTATTCAGTCTCAATCCGTATATCTCGTTCGCTGTTGTGCAGTTTGCACAGCTGCTTTTATCTTTGCATTCATTCAATTTGTGTCCTGGCTTGTCGAAGTTCGCGCAGGTTTCGTCATTTCGACATTCTTTGGCCAAATCTATTGCACTTGTAGCACATGAGTGCCCTGAGGTATTCTTTGAGCTTCAGAATTTGCAACCAAGCTTGATGGTGAATTTTCTTGTAAATCTCTGAAAGGTTTTTGGGTCGAGGTTGATCACCCAATGGGTACCTTTTTTGCCCTTTATTGGAAACAATACTTCTAATTTTGAATTCTCTTCTACTTAATAATTCTGCTCTTTCAGTTTAGTTTCTAGCTCTTCCTTTTTTATTTCTGGTTCAACGTCATAGGTTTTTCTTGGCATTTTCTTCGCTGGTACTTCACAAGTATAGCGTTAAAGGTCGAAGACCATCAGAATTGTCTTCAATATATGTCAATGGTCTCGAGTTTATTGTGGCTTCGCAGTCACAGATAATAGTTTCCAATTCTTCGCAATCTACGCATTTCCTGCCTAAATTTCTTCGTAACATTTCTTTTAGCATGCGGATCATGCGCTCCCACCATCCACCCCACCAGGCGGCTGTTGGTGGGTTAAAATTCCATTTAATTTTCTGGATTGTGGAAAACGATATGATTTTGCCCCAATCCAAATTTGTCAGGGCATTGCTTGTACCAACAAAGTTGGTTCCGTTGTCGGTGTAAATTATATTTACTCTACCTCCCCTAGCGAAAAATATTCTTAGAGCCATTATAAAAGCTTCCGTGGACAAAGAATTGACTAATTCCATATGAACAGCCCTATATATGGCACAAGTAAAAAGTACGATCCATATCTTTTCGCCAGAGCTTAAATACAGCGGACCTGCTAAAACGATTCCGGAAACTTCAAATACTGCCGCAACCTTTATTCTGTCTTTTGGAAGAGGTGCAAAAGGTATGGATCATACTTTTTACTTGTGCTATATATGTGTACTTTTTACTTGTGTCCTGTCACGGACGCCACTTCTTAAAAGATTCGAAATAAATACTATGGAATTTTATAAAAGGAAAACGCTTTAATTACAATATTCACAATGATTTTGGAAGCCTAATGAAAATTCGAATTACAACATATCTAATCAAAATATACAACTATTGCAGAGTTGAGTTGTAGGCTGCTGATACTTCAACAGATATAAAACCACTTCTTACAAATGCTAAAATACCCGCCACATTGATTGTATGACTTGAAATATGCAATGTTGCTTACCATTTACCAATACTTGAAGCATAGTACCATCAATATTAAACCAGTTGAAACTGACCATTTTCAGAACATACAACGCTACTTCTGATAGCGCCCCCTCTCCACGTTTTCTCGCTGTAGTCTTCTGTAGTGGAAAAGAGAAGGCAGTAGTTCGTTGAAGTTAGTAGTTCAACGTAACTAACATAAACTACGGAATGGAAGATAATAATAAGGATGCCACTACGTATATTAAAATAGGTGTATGTATAATAGTATTCATTTTTGATTTTTGGAATTTTTTTAACCTTGAAATTTAAAACTCCATATGCAATCCTTATGTCCATGTAACTGACTCCATAATGTATCCACCATTAATAAATATTTTATCACAGAACCCAAGCTACATGTATTCATATCACAAATACATACATTTGGATAGCATTTACCCATCTAGTTTAATATAAACTAATTATCTCCAATAACATTAAAAATAATGGCGGCTAGGTTAGCGAATTAGTCGAACGGTTATCGAGGTAGTCGGGCGGTTAGCCTGACTGCGAAGCCAATAGCTTCGGGTTTGATTCTCTCTCATCGTTAATGTTTCTCGCTAAGTATTGTCCTTTGTTGTGTGTGGTGTAGCCCTCCCTATGAACGAGTATCTGTGGCAGTGTGGCGTGGGTAATGTTGCTCGCCTCTGTATTTGGTCACAAGGTGTTCATCAGGCAACGCAAAGTGTGCAAAACTTTCGGCACTTTCCATGACAAAGAACCATAAGTTCAGTGCCTGCCGTTAAAATGTTACATTAAAGATAGTCTGGTGCTGACATCTAGTGTGTAAAATAAGAAATAAAAAAAATTCCGGGCACGAGAAATGGATATATTTAAAACTTTTTGGTGCATTACTTTTAAACGCTCCAGTTCGGAAATATCACGGGCATAAGAAATAGGAGACTAAGGCTCACTCCGTGATTTTAAAGAGAACGAGAGGGAAGGGGTAAGGCAATTTATATTTTAATAAGCATCGAAAACTTTATATTATACACAATATTACTTTTGGAAGTGAATTACACATTTATCCCCGAAAAAGTAAAAAAAAAGGTGATTTGGAGTTAATGAAAAAATAAATTAATTGTGGCAATTACAAATCTGTACTTTTAACAGAAATTAGTAGCCCATTTTATGCTAAAAAAAGAAAAACATGTTTGTTGTTTCACAAAAAGGGGAAAAATAGCAATGTCTAAATATATTTTCAGAATTTAAAATGTTTCCAACTTTCTTTAAAAAATTTAATTGCCAATTAATTCAATTTAATTTAATTAAAACTTTTTTAAAATTGAGCAACTATTTTTATAATCTACATAAATAAGATGTCAGTATTATTAACAGAGAATTTTTATGAAACATATATTTCATACCTGTTTTCATCATTTTGCATATAAATTTGGTCAAAATAAGTGAAAAAATATTATAGTTAGCATATTTATGATTATGAAATACAGCATGAAACACCACGGCCTTTTTCTGCTTTAAAGATAAAATCTTCCAAACAATAATTTTTCAAATTTGAACTTATTTATATCTAAAGGAAACAGTTATTCATCTTTGAAATTTCTTGAATTTACAATTTTGGTTTAAAAATCCAAAATTGTATTTATAATAAATCAATAATTGATTTTATTATAGGTAATTTTTTTAAAGGAATTATTTTTTTTCAAACTATTTTTTTTAGGTTTTATATTTTAATACAAATATAATTTCGATAATCCAAAAATTTTTTAGTAACTATTAGACTAATTATTCTAATTAAAAAATACCAAAATATATTTTGCTTGCATTAAAGAGTGGCTGGAAAAAAACATATAAAAAGGTCACCATTTTCCCATCTGCGACATAGGGTTAATGAATGTAATTTAATAATTCTTTGTAATGAATGTAATTTAGTGATTCTTTATAATGAATGTATGCTTTGAACTTCAAAAAATTTTCATGAAAATATGTTATGATTAAATGCTATTTTAGACAAGATTAAGAAAGTTTGTTTAGCTTTTTTGACATAGCATAATCTCAAACTCAGAGCGGGTTGAAGTTTTTTTCTCGAACAATTTGGAAAAAATAAATGTAATAACAGCTGCTCATTTGAGTGTAAATCTCTTTTTGTTTTTATCCATCAAACGATTTATCTATTCTCATTCCACAATTAAGTTTCTGGTTGAAAAAAAGGAGACACAGGTCCATACAGAACGCCAGGATGGGTGCGAATAAGATTCTCGGTATCGCTTATATCACTATTATTGTTATCATTTCATTACTCACTGGTAAGTATAAATCAAATTATCACACCGTTTTAATTTCTGAATAATGCAATAAAAAGAATTTTAAAATATGAATTATAATGATTTTGCTGTGAACTTTTTTTTCGTGAGATTGACAACGTACGATTGACGTATCCAATTGCACGATAATACGTATCCATTTGCACAATAATTTTTTTTAATTTTTTAAAAATAGATATATTTGTTGTAGGAATATGATAAAAATGTTATTAATGAGCTATGTTAATTGCAAATTTTTACACTTTTAAGTTTTAAATGGAATCATTTTTTATTTTATTGTTTAGCGTAATTATTCAACTTTTTTTCAGTAATACTGATACCTGGATGACGTATGTCAATCGGGTGGGCAACGGAGAAAAAATACTTTTTTCAATTAATTATTGAATAAAATATATCCAGTGCAGTACTATATTTAGTTTTAAAATGTGTATCTGTCGATATTTTGTACACTGAATACTATAAAGTGGTAAGAACGTAACGAATAAATTAATAAGTTTATCGCAAATTTTCCAACATTTTTAACCATGCTCCTCTGGTTACGCCATTTTGCTTTAATTCAGTCGACTCTGGTCTCATAATCTTAGTTTTGCTCCAAAAATTAAAAAAAAAATTTTTTTAATTTTATTTCCTCCTTTCCCCCAAAAATAAAAAAATAGAAACATCTGTAACACTGTAGCATTTTTTTATCACTTTTCAAACAATTTTTTCAATTAATTAAAAATAAAAAAATCGAAACATCTGTGACATGGTAGCATTTTATCTATCATTTTTCAATTAATCAAAAATGAAAAAATAGAAACATCTGTGACATGGTAGCATTTTTTCTATCATTTTTCAATTAATTAAAAATAAAAAAAGTAGAAACATCTGTGACATGGTAGCATTTTTTCTATCATTTTTCAATTAATTAAAAATAAAAAAATAGAAACATCTGTGACATAGTAGCATTTTTTTTAATCATTTTGCTCCATTTAAAATTTGGCGCTAGACTCTTGTAAGATAACAAAAATTGAAAATGTATCACGAACATTAACGGGAAAATGGCCGTCCGCGCGGACGTCGGATTCGAGAAATTCGTTGTCCGTGGAGAATTTTTGAGAATTTTTTCGGAAGGGCGGTTTTTTGAGCCCTGGAAAAAGCCGTTTTGGTATTTTGGTTTCGTAAGCAAGAACCTTCCTCAGTGTCGAAAACAAACGTGCTTTTATTTTGTGCTTCGACCGACATTGAGGAAGGTTCTCGTTGGTATAACCGAAACTAGGAAGTCCATTTTTTTGTGCTCTCTTCATGTTGTTCAGCTTTATTTTTTATCGAAGAATCGTTTTCGAAATTGAAAAAATATTTTTTAATATTGCTTTTCAAAATAAATTCATAATTTCTGTCTATTTATAAGAAATGTATCATTTTGTGAAATTTTTAGTTTTTAGTACTTAAATTTAAAATTCCTCTTTTTTTAGAAGTGAATGGAGGTGCAGGTTTTTTTGGAACTATAAATTCCAATTTTACGATAAGGTACACAGAAGAGGATTTTGAAAATTTTTTAAAAAAGGTAATAATATACAACTTGTTTCTAAGCTGCAATTTTTCATTTACAAACATTCTTACATAATAACCATGCCACTTTTCAGTCTCTAAGCTTTTGTGAAATGGGTTATAAAACAAAATATATTTAGATCCGATAACATAGCTGTGATATGTGAGTTCCGAGGTAATGCTGCAAACTGCCGTGCAGTGTACTTGGGTTTAAAACCCCAGGATAGCATTATTATGCAATAAATGAGCCGTGGTGGCTAAGGGGATAGAGTGTTCGCCTTCCAATGAGGTGAACCGGGTTCGAATCCCAGCAATGGCTGGTCGATGCGAATTCGGCATCCGGCTTTCACCGAACACAGCGTTGACATAAAATATGCTCAGTAGTAGACGGATTATAGGTTAGAGTCTTCTTGCCGTCAGGCTAACCGTGGGATGTCTTCGTGGTTTTCCCCACCATGTAACGCAAATGCGGATTAGTTCCATCAAACTTCACCCAATACTTGATCCAGAAGTTTCCTTGTCTTATGGATTGGGTTCAAAATTACAAGGCAATGTAGTTGAACATTGGGAGCCGTAAATTCAAAATTTGGTTGGGCTACTCAAAGACGGCTATTAAATAAAATATATTTAGATCCAATTTATAATTTATTTAATGTTACGGTTGTGCCTGTGAAATTATTTCAAATGAAATGCTAATGAAAGAGAAATGACATTTATTAAAGAAAAGTATGGAATTTTTAATAACAATAAATAGAACAAATTATGAAAAAAACAAGCATTTATAAAATATTCCATTAATATTTCCTATCACACTTTTCAAATTAAAATAACGAAATTCTTTAAGAAAGAAACGTGTTTCCATAATAACCATTTTAAACGTTTGCAGCAGCTCTTTCAAGTTTTCATTTAAAAGTAAACCATACTTCGGCCTATTTTAACCCTTTTCAGCTTATGTAGGGGAGAGTGGGGTCAATTGTAACAGGATGCGATTATAACAGAGCAAAAATTTCGAGTGTCGGGTTCTAAATTTGGTTCCTAGGTGGCGCACAATGTGTATTTAATAAATCTACATGTACACTCCTGCTGGCAACCATTTTTATGTACTTTTGAAAGAGTTACATCACAAAAGATATTTTCACGCTACGGAAGTACTTTTTTTGGTATTAGAATATTATATTGTAACAAAGTAATTTTGTTTAAACAAATAAAAATTATTAACCGAATATGTAAGTGGACACCTTAATTAACATTTTAAAAAAAAGATTAGTTTTGTTAATTAACTAGCATTGTTTTCAAAAAATGAAGCTGATTAGTTAGTTAGTTAAGTATTATTGGCGCAAAAGCCATTTTTGGCCATACCGCACCTACAACTTGTTTTATAAGAAACATTCTGCTATAAGTTAAAGCTAAATTGATTTGTAAAAACCAATGTCCCTTAGATAATTAAAAATGTTATTGTGGGGTTTATCTCCAATTAATAAAGTCAATGTTGGATTAAAGCAACCAAAGTGGCGTTGTCTCAGTGTTTTAAATTCGTTACACTTTGTTAAAATATGTTTAATAGTGAGCTGTTCTCTACAATGAGAACATTCGGGTGCAGTTTCGTTTAATAAAAGATGTTTATGGGTTAATCGAGAGTGGCCAATGCGCAAGCGATTTAATATTACTTCCTGCTTTCGACTAATGTTTAGACTTTTATAAGATTTAATAGAAGGTTTAATGTCGTGCAATTTATTATTTATTTCATTTTCCCAATCATTTTGCCAGTGTAAATACTGTTCATTGTCAATTGCATTTTTGATATCTGTGTAGGTAAGGGGGTTGTTTGTTACATTGTTTGTTGACTTAGCCACTTTATCTGCTGCTTCATTACCCGAAATGCCAGCATGGCCTGGCACCCAACAGAAAATTATGGCATATTCTTTTAGGAGTAAATTGCTGTATAGGTTTAAAATATTATTTATAATAGAATGTGTATTCAGTTCTTTATTTTGTAAGGCAACTATAACACTTTTTGAATCTGAATATATTATCCATTTTTTCAACCTTTGAGAAGAAATAAATTGAAGAGCCAGATAAACCGCATGGCATTCAGATGTAAATACGGAGCATTTTGAATGTAATTTTTCAGATATTGTGGAGATAGGGGTAACAACAGCGCTTGCAACATGGTCAAGGCCTTTAGAGCCATCTGTAAAAATGGAATTAAAATTACTATATTGTTCTTGGTGTGAATTAAAAAGCTGTAAGTAAATGTCAGCAGCAGTTTGTGCTTTTGTCAGATTGTTAAAAATATCAATAGTTTGGAGAGAAATGACGTCCCAAGGAGGTCTTAATTCGCTCGCAGGTAAAATATTAAAGTCTTCTAGGTTTAGGTCAGATAAAAGCTTTCTTACTCTCAAACCAAAAGTCGGTATTGCAGAGGGTCTGTTACTAAATAATCTTTCATAAGATGGAGTTGTAACATTTGAAAACATGGAATGTATATGATGGCTTTTGACATGAAAATAGTATCTCAATGTTAACTTATTGCGTCGTTCAGCAAGAGTTGGTTCATGATATAAAACGTTTAGACTTTTTATGGGTGATGTGCGAAATGCTCCTGTTGCTATACGTATGCCGGAATTATGGATGGTGTCAAGATATTTAAGAACAGATTTTCTAGCTGATCCGTAGACAACGCAACCATAGTCGAGTTTAGATCGAATGATACACCTATAAATTTTGAGCATGGCATCTGTATCTGCACCCCAAGAGGTGTTTGTCAAAACTTTAAGTAAATTTAATTTCAGTCCACAGGTTTTTCTTAAGTGTTTAATATGAGATGCAAAAGTGAGTTTAGAGTCTAAGACCAAACCAAGAAATTTTGTTTCGCTTAAAACGGGAATGCGGAAGTTTTTGAGATACAGTTCAGGATCGGGGTGGAGCCCTCTTTGTCGACAGAAGTGTATACTCGTTGTCTTAGTTGTAGAAAAATTAAAACCATTTAACTCAGTCCATTGGGATAATTTATTAATAGCGAGCTGCAATTATCTTTCGATAGTGTGCATATGAGATGCTTTACAAGATATCCGCAGATCATCAACGAATAACCTGCCGTCCACTGTAGATGGTAATGGGGTTAAAATATCGTTTATTTTTATAAGAAATAAGGTTACACTAATGACACTACCTTGAGGAACACCTTCCTCTTGATTAAAAGTGTCAGATAAAGTGTTATTCATTCTAACTTGAAATGTCCTGTCTGTTAAAAAGTTTTGAATAAAATAAAACATATTTCCATTAATGTCATAATTTAAAAGGTCCCTTAAAATGCCGTATCTCCACGTTCGATCATACGCTTTCTCAATATCAAAAAATAGCGTCACAAGATGTTGCCTTTTTAAAAACGCTTCACGTATATCAGTTTCTGAGAGCATTCGATTGTCAACAGTTGAATTACACTTGCGAAATCCGCTTTGTCTCTTAGATAAAATACAACGAGATTCAAATAAATATATTAATCTTGCGTTTATTATTCTCTCTAGAAGTTTGCAAAGACAACTGGTGAGAGCGATTGGTCGGTAATTGGTAGGGTGTATAAGGTCCTTACCTGGTTTAGGAATGGCAACTATATATGATTTTCTCCATATTGATGGGAATTGTCTATTCACCCAAACTCTATTAAACAGTTTTAAAATTATTTCCAAATGGGTGTCAGAGAGGTGTTTAAACATACTATTGTGAATTTTGTCAGGCCCTGGAGATGTTTCTTCACATTTATTAATAGCAGATTTTAATTCAGTTATTGTTAGAGGAGAATTGTAATCATTGTGAGGTTCAACAGAGGGTCTAAGTACATTTTTTTCAGTTTGAGTTTTGTATTTTTGGAAAGTTTGAGAGTAATTTTCTGTACTAGAGGCTGGGAAAAGTTTTCGGCTAGGGTATTTGCTATTTCTTTAATTTCTGTTATTTTATTTCCATTTACTTCAAGATGCGTAATAGGTAAGGAGTTGTAATGACCAGATATTTTTTTTATTTTTGCCCAAATTTCTTTTGCTTTCGTATTGTTATTTATGGTACTTATATATTTAATCCAAGATTCTCTTTGGCTTTGCCTTCTAGTTTTCCTTGCAAGTGCACGGGATTTTTTAAACAGGATTAAATTTTCAACAGTTGGGTATCGACGGAATATTCTCCAGGCTCGTCTTTGAGCTTTATGAGTTTGTCTGCATTCTTCGTTCCACCATGGTTTTGGGTATTTAGGTAAATTAGTTGATGTACGTGGGATGGAATTTTCAGATGCGTTTATGAGAGTACTTGTAATATGTTGTGCAGCTTCTTCAATATTACCATTATCAACCATTTCTTCATTGAATATTAGCGACTCTTGAAAAAGTGACCAATTTGCTAAATGTGTTAGCAGTCTAGGAAAATGTACTGTATTAGTATTCCCAGGTTTAAAAATATTGATGATGAGAGGAAAATGGTCGCTATGATAAAGGTCATTCCAAACAAAAAATTGCAACAGGGTATAAATACGTGGTGAACACAGTGTCAAATCAATGGTATGGAATGTACGAGATGGAAAGTGGAAATGTGTTTTTTCATCCGTATTTAGTAAACAGAGTTGGTGGTCCTCTATTAATGTATCAATTTGATTCCCACGAGAATTTGTAGTATCACTGCCCCAAGTTGTGCTATGCCCATTTAGATCACCTGTGATTATAAACGGTTCTGGTAATTCTGCTATTAGGTTGTTAAGATCTGATTGCGATATTGTTTGATTTGGTGGAAGGTACAGGCTGCATATTGTGATGAGCTTTGATTGAAATGTAACTTGTGCTGCTACTGCTTGCAAGGTAGTTGTTAATGGAACTGCCGAAAATGGATAACTTTTTGAAATCAAGAGAGATACACCTCCGCATGCTTTATTTCCATTAATAAAGTCATTTCTCAGGTGCGAATATTTTTGTATATTGGCTTTGTGGTTATGTTTCAAAAATGTTTCCTGAAGTGCGAAACAAACGGGGTTATGTTTTTCAATAATATTTTTGATATCTGGCAAATTAACATAAAACCCGCGACAATTCCAAGATATAAGTCTATCGGCCATTTTTAATTTTTATGTTTTTTGGTTTAAGGTTTTCTGGAGTTTCCATCCCTTTTTCTATTTGCATTTGAGAAGCATCTGAGCAATTTTCGTCGTCTGTAACCATTGTATCTGATGAAAACTGATCCTGTTGGTTATTTGATAATTTTTTCCGGTTTTTATTGAAACGATTTTGTCTGCTTTTAGATATGTATTTGGGTTTACTTAGCAATGGGGATTGAGTTAATTTTTTGTGAAGAACATTGACCAATTTGTGGGGTTATTTTCAGGTATTGACTGTTTTTACTAGTATTTTGAGATAATAACTGATCAGAAGTTGACGGGATTGCGACTTTGGATTGCTGTGAAGGTTGTGCAGATTTTGATTTTAACGCATTGGTTGTCTGAGAAGGGGTTGTTGTCAGAGAAGGGGTTGTTGATATGGTACGTTTTGTATTCCGAAGCTCAGATTCATTATTTTCAGTCTGTATACCAATGGATTTAGTTGCTTTTGGAGTTTTGACCACTGAAGCCTATGAAACATTAAGTCTAGGTTGTGAGTTTAAAAATTTGCTTTTGGCCTCAAAATATGACAAGTTTTGCATTACTTTTATATTTAGTATTTGTTTTTCTTGTTTCCATCTAGGGCATTGACAAGAATTTGCAGAGTGAGATTCGGAACAGTTAGTACATTTTTCTGGCTGATTACAGGTTTTAAAAGTGTGACCGGTTTCACTGCAGCGAGAGCAAGTCTCTTTTCCTCTGCAGTTGTTCGCAGAATGGCCGAATTTTTGACATTTGAAGCAGCGGAGTGGATTGGGAATGTATGGGCGAACTTTACAGTTTCGGTACCCTGCTTTAATATCATCAGGTAGTATAGAAGTGTTGAATGTTAAGATTATGTGTTGAGTGGTAACTATTTCTGGACCTTTTTTTATGGTTATGTGCCGTGCATCTATAACTCCTTGACTGGAGAGACCTTCGATTATTTCAGAAATTGGGAGTGATTGTAACGTCTTATCAGAGATCACGCCTTTAGATATATTTAGAGTGTTGTGAGAGGTTACTGAGATTTTAACGTTTCCGAGTTCAGATAATTTCAAAAGTGAAGCTGTTTGTTTGTTGGAATTTGTTTCGATTAACAAGTCTCCTGATGGCATCTGTTTTACATTTTTAGGATTACCAATATTTGCTTCAAGTGTTTTTTGAACTAAAAATGGTGATATAGACGAAAGTTTCTTTTCTGTAGAGCTTAAGATCAGAAATTTTGCTGTAGTGGGGTCGTAATTTGTGCATTTAGCAAGATTGAAACTAGGTGAGAAAATTGTCCCGCTTTTGTTTCGGTGTGCGGAACTGAACACCATCTGTTCATTTTCAGCCATAGAAAAAAATAATCAACTTCCACTATCAACTGCACCACCCACCACGGAGTCCAACTTAGGGGATGTAAGTGACAGTAAAAAATCTGTTACTTAACACCGATGCTGGCCAATAGCTATACGCCCGAAAGTCACCCCTGAAGCAGCCTCCACCCTTAACGAGGTGCTCAGTAAGTGACCCCGGGCTTGACCCTAGCCATCAGATGACGTTTGTGACATGCCGATTGATGCATACGGGCCACTATGCACCTCCCGTTTACCTGAAGCAGGGGCCAAAGTAGTGTGTTGGGGTACCAAGATGCCCCTCAACTACCAGGATCCCCCTTTCCAGGGACACGGGTCTCCGCGCACGGCAAACACGCGGGTGGTTTTCTTCCCATCAGAGTTTGATATAAAACCGAAACCAAGACGAAAAGCCCTTTACCAGTCAATTTGGCAACCACGACAAGAGTGAAAATTTTTTATAAATAAATATAATACAAATGAAGAAGTGAAACATAATTAATAAATATACATATGTATATATAAACGCAACAAAAATAATCAAAAATATAAAAGCTCAAATAATTGCTCACTAGGTTAATGTAATAAATAATGAAAGTCACAAACTCAAAACAGGACCGTCGCAGGAGAGATATCGAAAAATGCTCAGGTCCAGGTGGGGGCCCCGGGTGCGCCACGCCCGTCACTCAAGAGTGTGCCCCTGGGGGGACAAATGAAGCTGAAATGGCGTCTTGGGGACGATTGTAACATTAAGTAAAGGGACGATTGTAACAGCTGAAAGTAAATAATCTTATGTTTACAAACCATTACTTAACTCTTTAAGAACCACCAATAGTTTCCTACTACATCATTTATATTATGTTGCATGTGCATTATTTTATTTGTAACCTTTCACAGCATAAATTAAAATTTTTAACCCCTTAAAGTTAGAAGTTTAAGCCTTTGGGTCTCTGCTCATTACTATTTTTACTCATAAAATATCACTACTATTTTGATCAATAAAAAAATATATCCCAACTATGATAATATGTATAATTAACTATGTTTTACTTGAATTTATGAACTGTTACAATTGACCCCGTAAGTGGGGACAAGTGTACGACTGTAAAAAATTGTTAATAACTAATATAATAACATTTAAAATAAGGTATTTATTTTTTTTCTAGTAGAGGATAGTCTACTTTACTCGTCTGTCAATTAATACTAATAATATATTGGATTTTTTGTTAGTTAAAAATAGTTAAGTAAAAAATGTTACAATTGACCCCACTCTCCCCTATATATATGAAACAAATTCATAACCGAACTAGATATAGCGCAAGGAGTGCAAAATACCTAAACTAAGGTTATTAATTATAAAACGGTGAGAAACCTTCCTTCCTCTAATTAAATATTATTAATTTAGTATTTTATAGATTATAACGTTCACAATTACCTTCAACTTTCTTTATCCAAAAGAGAAAAAAAATGGAAACTGCTGGTTTAGTCTGATGGGTGTTACGTAAAGTTATCTGCGGCAGCAAAATTTGACTATGACAAGATTTTTTTTTTTTAAAGCTACTAAAGGTTCTGTAGGTAAAAATCAATTTTTGGCTTGGTTGGTTGGTTGGTGTCGTGTCATGGACAGAAAATAATTTTAAATGTGATCAAAGGTCCTATGGACAACATCTTTTTTCGTCTTCATCCCGTACTGCAGATTGAGAAGCGTCTGCTGCCCCGTAAGCAGTAACATGATCGCCATTTATATTTCTTGCCTTAAAAAGTTGAATAAAAATTCCCAACACTTCCTAAGCACTCAGCTTTATTTTCAGCATTTTTTATTGAATTCATATGGATTGTAAAAAGTTTTTTGTTCTGAAAGAATTATCTGTATCTGATACACTACTTATGGTAACAATTAATTTTGGATACATGAGTGTATTGTATTACAAAAAGCTTTCTAGTACGGCTTCAAAGGAAATGAAATATTCGCGTTTTAATTTATTTAAATTATAACAACCTGAGCCTTGCTTGAAGCGAGTTTTTAATGATAATTTGTTCTGAAAGAATTATCTGTATCTCATACACTACTTATGGTAAAAATTAATTTAGGATACATGAGTGTATTGTATTACAAATAACTTTCTAGTACGGCTTCAAAGGAAATAAAATATTCGCGTTTTAATTTATTTAAATTATAACAACCTGAGCCTTGCTTGAAGCGAGTTTTTAATGATAATTTGTTCTGAAAGAATTATCTGTATCTCATACACTACTTATGGTAAAAATTAATTTAGGATACATGAGTGTATTGTATTACAAATAACTTTCTAGTACGGCTTCAAAGGAAATAAAATATTCGCGTTTTAATTTATTTAAATTATAACAACCTGAGCCTTGCTTGAAGCGAGTTTTTAATGATAATTTGTTCTGAAAGAATTATCTGTATCTCATACACTACTTATGGTAA